CAAAAAAAAAAAGCGCTCCTACAATTGTGCGGCTTATGTTCATTAGTATACAGGAATATGCCAATGGTAGCTCTGCAATAAAATTTATTGTATCATTATACCAATTATTTTAGGACAGCTGAGAAACTAATTGGTTTAGAGGAAAAGTAATTACATTTTTGAAATCAGCATCACAAACTCAATCACACTGCAAATTTTCTTTATAAACACATGAAAATAAAAATCTGGCATTTCCTCTTAAGTACAGTGTCCCAACTTAAGTCAAATGGCTTTGTTGCAGGTCCGATGGACCGATTTCATCGTACTTTCTGAGAGGCTCATTATCATTGACAGAATTCGGTTTTTTGAAACAGACTGGATTGCTACAAAGGCCAAGCTCGACAGTTATTTTTTTAGCTCTGTTGCGATATTTGGCTTTGTAGAAAGGTAAAATTTAGCTAAATGTACTTTTTTGTGTTGACTGACAGTCAGAAAGTTTGACTGTATCCAAAAAAAAATAATTTGAATTGTATGGAGCATGAAATATTAACGTCTATGTCAGGATAAATTTTTTGTACATGTTTAGTCGCAAGTTTAACCTAGAAGTGGTCCTAGTGTGCACATTTTTTTCGTAAAAAATATTTTGCTAGAACGACTTCTTGCTTCAAACGAAAAGTCCCGAATTTTTCCATTCACTTTGCAGATAGTCGAGCGCCAGGGCCACGCTTGGTGAGGAATAATCATTTTTCTTGAGTGAGTCTGAATGAGCTGAATGTTAAACTTTATTTCACCATTATCACAAAACGAGTGCTCAAAAAGGGCACGCCGCCAAATTCTCGTGAGGAAGCGCCGCAAGGATTCCTCGAGGTCAACGATAAAAAAAGAAAACAAGCATCCAAAGACTCCCCGAGCGCGCCTCGCTCTCCTCTCTCGGAAGCGTAGGTTCGCCGACGAACCTCCTCACCTCACATCGGCGGCCGACCAAGCCCTGGAAATTTCTCGATGGAAAGGGGCATGGTGATACCGGGTTGCGTCATCCGCCACGGACGGCCGTCGAACCGTCTCGCGCTTTCCCCCAGCCTTCGCTGCGCATCGCGCCGACCAAATGATGAGAATTTTCTGGAATCGCGCGCGGAAGGTATTTAACCAAGCAGCGGAGATGGGAGATCACGAGAAGAAGGAAGTTAGCGCCAGTGTGCGTGGGGTCATTCCGCCGCGTCTGTCAGTGAAGGTTTTGTCCTTAGTGACAAAGCAGGAGATGAAGAAAGTATGCGGCAGAGTGCGTAGGGTGTTCCGCCTTGTGGGCGAAGCCTTTTGTCTTTACTGACAAAGGAGGTGAAGAAGAGGATTTCCACCTGAGGGGTGAAGACTCGAGCTACAGGCAAGAGTGTGTGTCTACCGCTATCAAGCGAAGACACGTGACAACAGCTGCGTGTGTGAAGCCGACGTGTTTCCGGCGAAGAAGTTGGGAGCCTGGAGAGCGGCCAATTGAAGGCGCGAGGTTTCCTGGAAGAGAAACTTCGGGGGCAGCAGAACGACAACAACGCTGGACTTTGAGTGAGTGGTTCTCGGAAGAGTATCATCCAGACTTTTGTTCCGAGAACTTTGGACTGAATAAGTTTCCTAACTCTTTGGTCTTTAAGTGTCTTGGTTGTTCGATGCATGCGACTGCATTGTAGTGCGTATTATTGTCTGTGTCCGTTGTTTCGAGTGTGGCTGATTGTACTGCATAGTAAATTGCTTGATTGGTGACATATTGTATTCAACTATTGTCGAGTGTGCATACTTGTGTATCGTTTTGATCTGCCATAGTTGAGAATATAATTTTGTTTTGTTTATCAACACTCGGTTCCGACTTGTTCTTTGGGCCACAGCCGGTGTCCGCTGGGGCGCCAAATAGGACCACTTCTGAATTGTCCACGCTTTCGTGGAGGGGTTCGGGGGGGCCAATACTTCGGCCCTTGGAATTAGTCCGGCGATCGCCTCCCGAATTAACGGGACCCGTGACAAACTGGCGTCCGCGACAGGACTTTTTTCGTGCACAGTGTGTCCAAAGTAGTGAGAAAGAGCCTCGAGTTGTTGATACTGCTATCGGAACGATTTTGTGTGTTGCTCAGTGTTCTCGTTAACGAGTGCACGGGAGTGTTTTGATAGACTGATTTAGGCAGATACTTTTTGCACGCGGCAAGACTTCATTTGCGAGACACAATGGATCTCAAAAAGTTAGTAGCTCTTGGTGAGAAGATGGGTCTTTCTGGCGCCAAACTATGGAAGTGGGTCACCCAGAAGGAAAAAGAAGAAAAAGAGAGGGCTAAAGAAGAAAAGGCAGCTGAGCTGGAAAAAGAAAGGTTGGCGGTCGAAAGAGCCAAAGCGGAAAAAGAAGCTGAGTTGGAGAGAAAGAGGTTGGCAGCTGAGAGAGCCAAGGAAGAAAAAGCAGCTGAGTTGGAGAAAGAGAGGTTTGCAGCTGTGACGGCCAAGGAAGAAAAAGCAGCTGAGTTGGAGAGAAAAAGGCTGGCCGCTGAAATGGCGAAAGAAGAAAGAGAGGCAAAGGAGCCACAGCTGAAAGAAGAAAGAGAGCAGCAATTGAAGTTGCAGCTGGGGAGAGAAAAGTTGGCAGCCGAAAGGGCGAGAGAAAAAAGAGAGCAGCAATTGAAGTTGGAGCTGGAGAGAGAAAGAATGGCAGCTGAGAGGGCGAAAGAAAAAAGAGAGGAAAGGGAACAGCAGTGACAGCACGAGATGGAACTCGAGCGGATCTGTTTGCAACAGCGAAGTGAAACTCCGGTCCAAGCTAGAGTTGAAAGCAGCGAACGGGAGGTCCACAGCTTCCGCTTGAACCCAAGCAAGCTGCTCGTAGCATTTGATGAAAGGAAGGACGACCTTGACGCGTGCCTTCACAGATTTGAGACGATTGCAAGGAGCCAGAATTGGCCAGAACATCAATGGGCAACTGCTTTGAGTACTTGCTTGAGTGGTGAAGGGCCCAGTGTGTACGGTAGGCTGACGCCGACCGATGCAGCCAACTATGCAAAGGTGAAAGCTGCTTTGCTGATTTCGGACAGGAAAGCCAGCTGATGGTGAGACGGCTACGCAGTGCGCCGCCAGACTTAGCCATTATTTCGACAGATTGAACTTTCGGGGACAGCGCAGGAGTACGATCCCAACGTCCACATATGTGGACAAAACACAAGAGCGAAGTGTGTCCATTCTAGCGAGCGCTTCGCCGTAAAACTGAGTTCAAATATTGGCGCTGCTTTGATGTTTCATAAAAACACCACCAGATGACAATAGCTTTCATGGAATGCCATCAAACAAGCACAGGAACATGGCGTCCTCCACAAGTCGCTCCTCGAGGTAGGTGCCTGCCTTTTTTTTTTAATGTTCACCCTAAATTCCTAAGAATTTCTTTGTTATTTGGCGGTATTCTAAAAAATAAAGGTCATATCTTGTTTTTGTGCAAGTTTTGTCGCAATGCGAGCTCCTAAGGTTGTTTAACCCCTTAAGGGCTTATGACGACCTGCGCTCGTGAAGAGCAGTTGCCACTATTTTGCTTATGACGAGTTGTGGTCGTCATGAGTTTTCCGCAATGCTCCTACAGGCTTTTGACGAGCCCGGGTCGTCAAACGGGGATTTACGGAACCTGTGCTGCCATCTATGTTTAAGCACCGCAAGTTCCGTCATTGGCGGTGGTATTAAATTATAGTTTGCACACTAGATGGCGGAATGTGTGTGCTTGTTTCCCGCGCGTTTTACAAACATGGCCTCATCCGTGCGGCGTTCTGATGCGGAGAATCTTCCTTCTTCAGACGATGAAAGCGAGAGTGATAAGGATGCCACCGTAGTGTTTTATTCTTCAAGTGAAGAAGACAGTGATGACGTTTTTACGGACAGTGACTCTGAAGGAGAAGACAGTAGCGATGATACAATGGCTAGCTCCCGTGAATGGTTTCGCATAGACCTCGACAACATCCCAGCCAGACCTCCACGGTTTGATTTCAGGGGTTTCAGGGGACTGAAGATCACAGTAAGCTCTCCCCCTCATCCACTTGAGCTCTTTGAAGCTTACTTTGATGATGAGCTGCTTGATGTTATCGTCGTGGAGACAAACCGGTACGCTTCTCAGCTTCTGAATTCTAGCAAGCTGGGACAACATTCTCGCTTCCGAAAATGGTATGCACTTACGTGAGAAGAACTTCGCGTTTCTCTGAGCCTCCTGTTGCTGCAAGGCATTGTGCAAAAACCAAATGAAAGGATGTACTGGTCTAGGAATCGGCTGGTTGAGACTCCGGTCTTTGGCGAGATAATGTCCAGAAACCGCTTCGAACTAATAATGAGAATGTTGCACTTTGTCGACAACATGACAATCGAAAATTGTGAAGGACACCCTCAACCTCATCTGAGGAAAATCTGGCCGGTTTATCAGGCACTTCTTGAAAAATACCGGACATTGTATGCGCCGGAGCGGGACGTCAGTGTCGACGAGAGCTTGCTGCTCTTCAAAGGCCGGCTCAGCTGGAAGCAGTATATGCCCCTGAAGAGAGCGAGGTTTGGCATAAAGTCATTTTTGCTGTGCGAATCTTCAAGTGGGTATATATGGAACTCTGTAATTTATACAGGGAAAGAAACGAACATTGAGATCTCGTCAGAAGAAGCAGCAACCTTCGGAATGGCGACGAAAGTTGTTTTGAAGCTTCTGGAGCCCCTGCTAAACAAAGGCTACTGCGTCACAACTGACAACTTCTACACCTCACCAGAACTGGTTGACTTTCTTTTGAAGAGATCAACTGACATCTATGGCACGACGCGAGCCACTCGCAAAGACCTTCCGCCTGGTTTCGCCAAGGCAAAGCTCAAGAAAGGCGAGATGGTTGCCTTTCAAAGGGGCGAGTGCTTGGCTGTTCAGTGGATGGACAAAAAACTGGTGACGGTTCTATCTACAGTACATAGTGCTGAAATGGCGCGATTCATTGACAAAATGGGCAAAGAAACCCTGAAGCCAGAAGTTGTACTCGATTATAACCATACAATGGGAGGAGTTGACAGAGCAGATCAGATGCTGGCGAGCTACTCAGTGCCACGGAAACGAAAAAAGATCTCCTACAAGAAGATCTTCCAACACCTCTTGGATGAGGCGACCTACAATTCATTCGTTCTGTACCAGAAAGGAGGAGGCCGAGCATCTCATCTGGAGTATAGGCTAAGGCTTATTGATGAGATCATCACGAAGTACTCTCCCAACACCGGCACCAAGAAGAAAGGACGGCCAGGGCGCCCCCTGAACGCAACACGGTTTGGTGAGCGCCACTTTCCATCGCACATACCACCAACAGAGAAGAAGCAAGAACCGACACGCCGCTGCGTAGTCTGCTACATGAAGCGAGATGTAAATGGCAAGAACATCCGCAAGGAAACCAGGACCTGGTGCAGGTGGTGCGAGAAGGCTCTCTGCGCAGTGCCGTGCTTTGAACGCTACCACACGGATGGTAGCCTCAACTAGCTTCAAGTGAACTATCAAGAAATTGTTTGTTTTCTGCAAGGCAATTCAAACCCGACCCGTGCTTTCTGGAGTTGTAGAAATTAATTTGTGAATACACCAGAAATGCCCCAAATATAGGGTATTATATGGGGTAAAGAATGACCAATTAAACATGATTATCGACTATAAACAATTTTCGCAAATATTTTTGTGTTTTGAACATGTTTCTGAAGCATATCACATCATTAAAAAATTTGGCCATATTGGTGCATAATATATTTGTTTATGAGCCCTTAAGGGGTTAACGGGCGGTGTTGTGGCGGCGTCCACGTATGTGGACGTCAGGCCTAGAGAGTTCAGCGAAGTGCATGTGAAATTCCTCATGGTAGTAAGGCCCGCGCTGCTGCCGCGCGGCTATGGACAAACATTTCTCTTATGTGGTAAAATACATGTCGTGAAACTTGCGTTTAGACTTTATTTACTTGGTTTCAGACGTGGGCTAAGTGACAAAGATATACAGGCCATACTTTTTGAGTGGCCTAGCAGAAGCGAATGTTTTGATATGAACAGCTCGGATGACGAACGCATTGAGGCAGAGCCGTCAAGCAAAGGTCCCATCGACAAGTACATAGAGGACTCGTTGGATGACAAAGACTTGGAAGTGGAACAATCGTCCACAGCAAAAAATAGGGCAAAAAAGATTTGGCATTGGGTGAAGAAAGATGTCCCTTTGAATGAAGGCTTCCGGGAGAGCGAACTTGTCCTGCTGGTTACTCCTGATGAAGCGAAAACGCCACTCCACATGTTCTCGAAGCTCGTCGATGAGGATTTGGTGGAACACCCGACGTTCGAAACAGATCGCTTCCGAGTTCAGAACCACAAGACCAAAGTGAAACCAATCAGGATCGAGGAAATTAGAAAATTTCTTGGGATTATTCTCTACATGTCAGTTGTGTGTCTACCATTCAGGCGCATGTATTGGTCGCGACTGCTGCGTCAGGCACACGTTGCAGATTGCATGCACCCCAAACCGGTTCGATGAAATTATTTCGCTCTTTCACGCCGCAAACAACAATGACGAGAAAAAGAAAGGACAAGATGGATAGGATCGCCTCTACAGAGTGCGGCCTGTTTTGCAGCGCCTCAACAAAAACTTCTTGAATTCCGCCGAGATGGAACCATGTCTCGCAGTGGATGAAATGATAATACCTTTCAAAGATAGACACAGCCTGAAAGTCTATATGATGAAAAGGCCAAAGAAATGGGGCTATAAAGTGTGGACACTCGCTGGTAGATCAGGCTATGTGTACAAATTTGAGTTGTACGGCGACAACCTTGTTTCTGAGCCGACAGGACTTCAGAATACAATTGGAGAAAGTGGAAAGATAGTTGTCCGTTTTACAGAGGGCTGCGCAGGAAAAGAAGTGTTCTGCAACAACTTTTTCGCATCGGCCGAGCTGCTCGCTGAAATGAAGCTGTGTGGGTTGGGCTGCACTTCAACGCTCAGAAGCGGGAGGACTGGCCGTTGTCCACTGCAAAATGAAAAGGAGCTAAAAGGCAACGGCCGTGGCTCATCTGATTTTCGACGTGAAAAAGAAAATGGCCTTGTGATCTGTCAGTGGTACGACAATCGAACCGTAACCATTGGTTCAAATAAGCACAGCGTGAACCCTGTGGGGTCCTGCCGCAGATGTGACCGTAAGAACAAATCATTTCTTGAAGTCCAGAGACTCAGCCTTGTGAGAGTGTACAATCAAAGTATGGGCGGCGTAGATAGAGCAGACCAGCTGCCTGCGTTCTACAGGAACGACCTCAAGACCAAGAAGTGGTATAAGAGAGTCGTATTCCACCTACTGGATCTAGCCATAGTGAACAGCTGGCTGCTGTATCGGGCCACTAAAGGATTATCTATGCAGCTCGCTGACTACAAGCTCCAAATCCCATTAGGTTTGATGAAGGCCGAGCAAGCAACAGAAGATGCGAAAGAGCAGAGAAAACTTGGGTCTACCAGGCTCTCCAACAGGGCATCCGATATTCCTGGCGCAGTGAGGTATGGCGGTGTCAATTATATGCCTGTAAAAATTTCTCAACCAAATGCCCAACGTTGCAAAATGCCAGAATGTAAACGGAAGACAAATATGCAATGCAAAAAGTGCCAAGTCGACCTATGCATTGAGGTAGATGGACCAACGAACTGCTTCAAACGGTTTCACCTAGTATAACCGGTGTGCCTGGTGTCCACATATGTGGACACTCATTTTTTTCTATATATATAAAGCTATGATTTTCCAATTTCCTGCTTATTTCCTCTTTCGCACGTGCTCTTGTCGCATATATGCCAAAAATATTCTGTTTGCACAGCTGTATAACACATGGGAAACAAAGGGTTAGAGAGCCCCTAATTAGAGACCAATTTCTCACCAGTTGCCACCCAAGCCTGTCGCTGTACTTGAAAGAGAGAAAAGCTGAGTCACTTGAAGGCATGCTTGAATTGGCCGACCAATTCTTGGAAGCGCAAGGTGGCACAAATTTGGCCAAAATCAAGAAGGAGTGTCCCGAAGACTCTAAAAATTCGGCACCCGAACAAAAGAAGCGTGCACCGAAGAGTGTTCCGCGATGTTTTCTGTGTAACCGAGTGGGTCATCGCGCGAACAACTGTCAAACTAACTTTACGAGCCCTACGGTAGTAAAATGTTTCAAATGTGGTCAGACTGGGCACAAAGCAGACGTATGTCCTAACGGAGCGAGTCAAACTCACCAGGTATCCTGTGAGCTCGCAGCACCGAAATCCGATGATAATGCCGTCACCGACGGATTCGTAGAGTTGAAAAATGGGGAGAAACTTCCCATTGTGGGTGCTGTAATGACAAAACAGCCAATCGGTGTTACGAAGGGAATGCCAACGCTGCCTGGAAAAGTTGCAAGCAAGAAGGTTACGGTGTTAAGAGATACCGGTAGCTCCACTGTTATCGTGCGCAGAAATTTGGTACTGGAAAGTGAGTTTACAGGCGAAACGAAACCGGTTTGCCTAATTGACAGTACGGTTCGGATGCTTCCCAAAGCAGAAATTGAGGTTGAAACCCCGCACTTCAGCGGGAAGGTTACTGCTCTATGCATGACGACCCCCCTGTATGACCTCGTCATCGGAAACATCGACGGGGCGCGAGGGCCGAACGATTCAGAATGTTTGGGGTGAGACCCGAACATGGAGCCCCCGTCGACACAGAGGCCGCGAGATACAGCAGAGAACAATCCCGTGAAGGATTTCACTCGAGCCTGAGGTGACGCCTTGGCGCAAGAGACAGTGAATGAGAACATGATCGTAATGAATGAGTTTACGTGCTGGGCAGCTGGACTTACGTCTGCACAACCTCAACCGACCGACAGTGTCAAGATGACGGAGTCGGCCAGCCAGGCCCAATGTCGGGACATGAACAAGTGGGTGAATAACCGGACAGGATCGGTTGAGCGTTATGACCCGTTAACAATGTCGGAAGTGACAACGATGGCTGAGACGCCGCCTCAGATACCATCGGTGGAAAGGGCTCGCCGGAACAAAACGAGGAAAAACAAGAAGAGATCGAGCGAGCACCGCAAGAAAGAACGCAAGCGCAGCTCTAAGTACACGAGATAGGTGTTGAGGTCGAATCGAAATGTGTTTGACAGTGCTGAGTGCAATATGTTAAGTTAATGTGGTTGTTGTCCTGTGTCACAACTGTATGTCGAGTGAATCAAAATTTTTGTTACGGTGATGTGATGTATAGTGTTGTACAATTGTTGTAAAGACAGACCTTTGTACATTTGTATTGCTTGAAGTATGTGATGGAGTATTGTATTCATGTACCTGTGGCTATATTCTATGTGTTGTGAGATTGAATTGCAATGTACAATTGTATTGAGTGATCTATTGTGAGTGTGTCGTGGCATGAGCGACAGACTAAGTTACAGTCTTTTAGAGTGTGGGGACTGTTCGCGCTCGTTTGTGTGGTTTTGAATATTATGAGATAATATTCTTTAAGTGCGGGGCAGTGCCACAAAACGAGCGCTCAAAAAGGGCGCGCCGCCAAATTCTCGCGACGAAGCGCCGGAAGGATGCCTAGAGGTCAACGATAAAAAAAGAAAACAAGCATCCAAAGACTCCCTGGGCGCGCGTACCTCTCCCCTATCGGAAGCGTAGGTTGGCCGACGAACCTCCTCACCTCACATCGGCGGCCGAGCATGCCCTGGAAATTTCTCGATGGGAAGGGGCGTGGTGATGCCGGGTGGCGTCATCCGTCGCGGACGGCCGTCGAACCGTCTCGCGCTTTTCCCCAGCCTTCGCTGCGCATCGTGACCACGAAATGATGAGAATTTTCTGGAATCGTGCGCGGAAGGTATTTAACCGAGCAGCAGAGATGGGAGATCAGGAGAAGGAAGTTAGCGCCAGTGTGCGTGGGGTGGTCCGCCTCGTGGGCAAAGCTTTTTGTCTTCCATGACAAAGGAGGAGAAGAAGAGGATTTTCACCTGAGGGTTGAAGACTCGAGCTACAGGCAAGAGTGTGTGTCTACCGCTATCGAGTGAAGATGCGTGACAACAGCTGCGTGTGTGAAATCGACGTGTTTTCGGCGAAGAAGTTTGGAGCCTGGAGAGCGGTCAATTGAAGACGCGAGGTTTCTTGGAAGAGAAACTTCGGGGGCAGCGGAACGACAACAACGCTGGACTTTGAGTGAGTGGTTCTCGGAAGAGTATCATCCAGACTTTTGTTCCAAGAACTTTGGACTGAATAAGTTTTCTAACTCTTTAGTCTTTAGGTGTCTTGGTTGTTCGATGCATGCGACTGCATTGTAGTGCGTATTGTTGTCTGTGTCCGTTGTTTCGAGTGTGGCTGATTGTACTGCTTAGTACGTTGCTTGATTGGTGACATATTGTATTCAACTATTGTCGAGTGTGCATACTTGTGTATCGTTTTGATCTGCCATAATTGAGAATATAATTTTGTTTTGTTTATCAACTCTCGGCTCTTACTTGTTCTTTAGACCACAGCCAGCGTCCGCTGGTGCACCAAATAGGACCACTTCTAAATTGTCCACGCTTTCTTGGTGCGGTTCGGAGG